TTTAGGTCTCTTTTGAAAATTATCACAATTTTAATTAAAATGTAGCAATATCAACTTTCATTTTTTAAAAAATTGTATATCACAACATTTAAAGATCTAATTTGAAGAAAAGGTTTCATTTCAAGAGATGCTACAGAATGGAACAGACTTTTCCATACTAGTTCCAATTCTAATTTCTTTGGTAGTTGCTAGCTTTGGTTTGGGCTAGCTTCTTTGATCTTTCCCCATACTCTTGCCAGAGGCCATCTATCACCACCCACATCTCCATTTTATGGTTATATTATAGTTGCAATATTACTTCAAGAATAATATTGAAGAGTAAAATTTTATTCTATATGGAAATTTTCATTGAAAAATTTGGAACTGTTTCTGAGAAAATGGCATGTAAATGTTACAGTTAATGTGAAATTTGAGCTCTTTTTAACTTTTCATTTTTCAAGAAACTTCACTGGAAGTCATTTGTAGCACTTCCACTCACATATACAATAATGAAAACAAATTGCTAGAAATGTGCGTATTAACTGTAAAAGAGATATTTAAAAAAAAACATTTGCATAACTTTTGAAAAATCAAAAGAATACAGCAAAATGGCTTTTATGCTAGATTCAGATTGTGGTTACTGCACTTAGCACTTAACCACACAAAAAGTTTGAAGATAAAATTTGGAGCCATTTTTGAGAAAATTGTGAAAATGTCCCAGGGGCTTCATAACATGTATCATTCATTAGACCCAGGGCTTGATTTCTGCTGGAACAGGACAGAATCGATTTCCGGTATCTCAGGAATAATTATTAACTTTTATGATAAATATGGAACTATTTTTATTAAATTAATAATTATTTAGGGCATGTTCTGGGCAATTCTAAAATTGTATAATTCAAGCACTAATAAGGCCTAATTGAAATTTTGACAATTTATTAACAATATTTTCCCCACACATACTAAATAATTGAAGGAAGGTGCTTGTTCAACAATATTGTTGTAAGTACAATTTTTGTTCTTATAGATGATTTTTCACACAAGGCCATAGCATTTGTTTTCTCTCTTTGATATACTTACATATTACATACTTCTCATTCTTGGGTTACATTCTTTATTTATATACATCATTCACTCTTGTACATCAGTATTCAAACCTAGGTCAATTAATATCATTGATGGTTTAATAAAGTGATATTTGACAAACTTAAGTTGAAGCATAATTTAAGATTCAAACATCAATATTGTTCATATTGACACTTTAATTACTAATCAAAATATTGGGTAACAGCACAAAAAAATAACATATACTCAGTACAATTTATTCAATGAGAAAAATGAATCTTCTCTTATTATGCCCTTGAAATTTTGACCACTTGCTTTGAAGAAGTCTATGCTAATCCAATACTGTATTACTTAGTCTACTACCATTAGTCTATTACTTCTTCAGATCCAAAAGTTAACATCAACAATGTTGCTAAATTATTATTATTTTTTAAAATTTTATTTAATTTTACAAATAAATGGCATAAATCTTTCTCAGTGTAAATATTAATAATTCTCCTCCTCTAAACTTGTAATGAAAATATTATGGGATTATTTGGTAATAAAGAATTCTTAATATTTAGAAAATGTAATTAAAAATTAAATGAAGTATTAACTAAGTAAACTTTGGACATGGATGAAATTCCTGATTTACTGATAAATAAGTGTACTCATTGAAAGTTAAATTTTTTATTGAAAAACAAAAATTTTACTAATAAAGTTTAGCCAACCTTTTGGAAAATTGTTATCACCGAAAAGGTGATTCTGGTTTAATTGAGAAGTGCAGACTGATCTCTCTTTTATCAACCTTGTCAAGTTTTGGTAAATCAGTCACAGACTTTCTATGACATCAACCATGACTTCATTTAATGTCATGGTTTTCTCAAGAGCCCATCAACTACTGCCAACTGGCTTATTTTAAACTCAGTCAATTTTCATCTTTCTTACTGAATACGGTCAGATGAAATACGGTCACCAAAATTTTTATATACAGTCTACCCTTATACTCTTTTGCAGATATATTGGTCAGTTTCTTGCTATGCCCTACATGTATATAAACCACTTTACCGCGTAATGTGGACTGATAAATTTGCATTAGAATCCTAAGTAAATAAAATGATGACTTTAGATAATAACTTTGTTTCTAGTTCCTGAAATTGATGTTATTTTATATACACATTACCTACTTTGCCACATTAACCCATTATGGGGCAATGTTTCATTTTTGGGATATTTATTTGAATTTAACTATATGGAAAATTTTGTAATTTTGCAAAACAATAGAGGACAGAATAGAGAACAGGTGACTATTAATGAGAAAATGTTAGTTTATGCAAAATATTTTTAAAACTTGATGAATATTTGGTTTCCATCTTGGTAAAAATAAAATGTCTCTGAGAGACACGATGTCAGGAGTATGTGCTTGTCAGTGACTTGCCCAAAGCCAATATACTGACAAATGGTGACGAAATGACACAATTGCAGTTTAACAATTTGAGAGAACCCTGAGAACACAATTGTCACTTGACTATTACCAAGATCAATATTCTGTATTATGGAAAATTCTTGGTTGTGCAATTGCTAAATTTTTTTAATGTGTCTTTTTTCCATGAGTGTCAATTTATATGTCAATCATGTGGAAGCATTACTATTTGAATTTGCAGGGCAATAAACATAACCCAAATATCATATCCAACAATTTCTTTAGTGAATTGTTTGCTGTCCTGAAAAAGTAATTTTAAGGATCCTCACAATTTGAATGTTAATGGAAAGAATAAACAAAATAGTGCCTTCCAGTAAAATACTGAATGAAAACTAAGAAGTCTTTTACAATCGAGTACAGAGGTGTAAAAAAATATTGAATATTAAAAACTACTGCAATAGAAATAAATACATTTTCATTATCATTTTACCACCAGTATACTGAAAGAAAAATTCTATATTAAGTTGCATTAAGGACAGCCCTTTCACTATGAGGTTGGCACTCTATGGTTTAGAGACTACATTGCTGACAAGACTAACTGTTTTTTTGACATTAAATAAATAAAGACTTAGTGAACTTCAGCAAACAGTTTTTAAGACAGTTCAGGAAAAAGAAACATTTCTCCCAACACGTTTACCAAAGAAAATAACCAAATGATCTTCCTTACATTATCATGAATATGCAAACTGATTTGTACCTTAAGCTGTATACTTGCTAATACCAGAATATCGTACTGTCATTTAATTTTAGTTTTTCTAAAATAAATTTCCTCTCGCATTCTAATTCAGAAGACTCGTCAGCAAAAAGGATATAACGAAATCAATCACTACAAAAAAGAAACATTAATTTGTACACTATTTAAACTGATCTGTTATGAGGAAAAATAAGTTGAACATTTTTTCACACATTACCTTCATTAACTATTTAAAGTAAGAACAACAATAGGCTATGGTGATACTACAGATGTACACTATTTTCTGAAATTTGAACCCAATTGGCTGTCAATTGATATATACAATACACAAATGTTTATCTAGTAAAAAAAACACTCCAATCATTGGTATGTAATGGTATTTGTCTTAGAAATGGTAAAAATTAGAAATTGATAAAAATGCAATAAAAGAATCAAACACTAATGAGAAAAGTCAAAACAAATTTAGTTCTGATTATATATTTTTTTCCACATCTCACTCTGAACCGCAGTCCCATCATGTGGAAGCATTATGATGGCACTGCCGTTGACCAATCAACATTTGGTACTTGGTGCTAGAAAGTATAACTATTTGACACATTTTTAATTTAAGTATAAACAATTAGGGCACTAGCTTAAAATGCTGCATTCCAATTTTAATTCTATGAATTTTAAATTGCAAAATCTTTATTAACAATTTCCAGTGTGTACAGACATTGAAAGAAAACTATAAAGCCTCTGCCCATGCGAGTGATGACTATGGTTTTGTTAGATAACCAGAAACGCTGACAAAATCCAAAAACAATGTACATTTTCACTGAAAAATGGAAACATTTGATGTCATTTCACCTAATCTCATACTGCAAATACCAGCTGAATTTTCATACTAAGAGCATCACTACTTACAAGGCAGCAGACGGCATGACAGCCAAGGCTCCAGGATATCTGGATTCCCATTACATATTTGTTATTGACGTGATGTGATACTGAACAGAAGCTTATTTGATGAATTCTTGGTATGTAAAGAACTGTTGTACTGTACAAATCCTACACTATGTTCTTGCAGAATTCATGAAGGTAGTTTTTGTATTATTTAATTTATGACAGTGTTATAGGGACGAATTTTATTTCTTTTTCTTGAGCAGTGATCATGCTCCTTTTTTGAAAATCATTTTGTGTGGTTTTGTTCAAAAGTATTCTGAGCCTGCAGGCCACTGTATTGTATTGTACCATTTTCAGTACAAAATAGAAATAATATGAGAATTTTTCTGAATAAAAAAAAATATATAAGACTCCAAAGAAAGCACATACATACCTTTAATGTCCACTACTACAGTCAAAAACACTTTTCCATCGATGAAAATTACTGAGGGGAAACATCAAAAATATATGAAGAACAAAACACAGTGAAAAATGGAAATATTTCATGTCTCTAATGAATAGATTAACATATATTCTGGAATTTCTATGAACTACTAATTGTACTATTTATGTTGACCCATGATGAAAAAAGTGTTTACTTAATACTATTTATGTTACTTGTCATGAAAATTATACATGTAAATTCTCATGCAGACTGCGAAAAGCTCCCAATTCATTCGCACATAATGTTCTCTATTAATATTCGCACAGAATAATTTTAGTATGCATCATATCAGATATACAATTTAAATGTTTTCTCTTTTTATATGATAATAAGTTGAACATATTATTTTTTAAAATGCGAGAGTAATTAATTGACTGCCTTACTATTTTACGGAAGTGGAAAAACATGGAATGGTGAGAGTACATAATATCTAAGCATCAACGAACCAAAGCATTATTTATTTTATGGCTTGCATATACATTCCAAATACTACAAGATGTCTTCTCTCTTAGATCACCACGAAGATTCAATTAATAGATGATCAAAAAAACTTTGCAAATTCCATGGCATAGCAACTGTATTATAAATGACAAAAGAAAGACTGTCACATTACTCCATACATTTCTCAAAAAAGATAAGCACTGAAAATAATATACATTTAAAACCAATTCAATTCATGCATGGAAACCAAATTCGATGGGAAAACAAGCTTGCTGCCATAAGAACCTCCCTCAAGAAAGTGCAAAGAAGTTAAGCAGGACAAACACCATCATCTGACAGTATGCACTTCTAGGCTGAGGAAATACACCACTACAACATTCTTAAAATTCTATGCAAAGATACATATCCAGCAACACTGCGACTCCAAAGTGTTTCAGTTTTCTTTTAAATTTGCCTGATTGTGATTGAAGCGAATTTTGAAGCTTAAAAATATACATTAAAAGAATAGAGGAACAGAAATATTCCCTGAGTAACACAATATGGATTGAAGACTATGTTAACAGATTTTCTTCTACCCTGGAGTTTTACACATGACAACATCCCGAATGATATAGCTATCTAAAAGAAAACTGATCCTTTATTACAATACTTACAAAATATCTAATGCTTTCAATGACCGAAGAACAACATCACTAATTTTAACCACAATGTACACCATATTCAAAAGTGAAAACTATGCATCTGTTCTTTCATTAAGTATACTGCCCTCAACCAGTTATACAATGAACTCAGATTGAATATAGGTACAGAATCCACATACATTATTGACTTATTTTATCTACATCTGTTAATTTTTCTAAGTTTCTTCAAAATAATGGCATAGAAATACAAAGAATGATGGTAACAACCGTGATTGATTAATTTCTAACTCTAATGTCTAATTTAGAACTTGTTAAATATAAATAACAGGGTGGAATCTGAATTTTCCTACCATTCTGTTAAATAAAAACAGTATAATGTAATAAATACAGTGGTACTGTATGTGCCATGATCAATGCTGAGTGTGGCACAGCATTTCTTGTGATGCATATCGATAAGGTGAAGAGTCTGCTTAACATTACCTATGGTATATGTATTGCTAACTTTTAACTATCTTTGACATCAGCTGAGAGGTCACCAAATTATGACAGTTTTCACAGGAAATTGAAGGAAATAAAGAATAATTCAATAAATAATATCTATATAAGACAAAATATACATTTATAATAAAATATTAATTGTACTGAGAACAATATTATACCATGTCATGACAAATTAATAATTGTCTTCTTTATTGGTATACAAATCAGAAAATAACGCAAGCTTCTTTCTAAACATGTGAGCAGAATCATGACTATGAAAAACTTGTTTTATCTTTGGAGATACTGGATTTAGGACTGCAGCTTTCTTGAACAGGAACTCTGCAGTATATTTGTTTAAATTCCCTATATTATTTTTTATTTGAGAAAGGAGAAGCTTAAAGCTTGCTCTGCACACTCATTGGGTGCACAGATACTTACCTACATTTAGGCTGGGTACTAACTGGGAGGTGGCTGAGGGGTAATACCGACAGTCCCCAGTACATCACGGAAAGTGACCAGGGTCTTGCGAAGGGTGAGGCAAAAACCCTTAGATGCAGGGATGAGAGGAAATTCAGGCAATTGCACATTCACTGCACTGGCAATTGCTGCAAAAGAAATAATGAAAACATATTTAATGGTTACATTATTGTTTTAAATTCACTTTAACATTGCCCTTGAAATTTATTTGATTCATAACACAACACATTCCATATAGCTTGTTTTCAACATACTACACTCCAACATTCAGAAGTAAATATAAATGATTATGTGACCAGATTATCTAAAAGGTTAAACAGACAAATAATGACTGTTGTCTAAAACAATTAGATTACCAAAATTCGATGGTCTAAGAAAGTTTTAAAATGGTTACCTCAAAGAAACAGAAAGCATAGCAAACCAAGAAAAACATGGGAAAAGGCAGTGAAGGAACGAGATCCTCAAAAGGGAGATTGGGAAGATTGAAGGAAGTGGCAACTGGGATGCGAGAAACAGCACCACCTGTAAAGAATACTTCTACAATATCATACTACTATATGAACTTGCAGAAGCGTTTCCAACCAGAAAAAATGTCTTCTTCAAATTGAGATTCAAACTCAGGTCATTGGAGTTTAATCACCATATGCTCTACCACTACACCAAGCAGTTGCTCAGACAAACTCACTTTTGCAGACACACAAGAAACTAATCATCTCTCACATAATTTCTACCTAATGCTATTTTAGAAAAATCAGGTATTTCAACAAAAGTGACTGCACAATTTTTTTTGTGTGTTTTGCATTCTCAGCAAAATAGTAAATAAAAAAGTTTAGAGCCATTTATGAGAAAATTTTGAAGTTTCACGTAAAATACCCCAATCAAAATATATATTTCAACCTTGCATGGCTTCAAATTCGTTCACGTCCATTTGCAAATATCAATTTCAGAGAAAATCATCTGAACAGTTTCAGCATTGTTGACCAGCGTGAGATGGACAGACAGATGTTTTGCATTAATAATTACTTAGTACCAAGGACCCGCAAGCGTGGTTTGACTACAAAACGTGTTAAGAGGAAGTAATTTACTACATACAGGAGCAAGATTTTAGTTATTTATTTATTAATGGTAGCAGCAACAAGCTGTTGAACAAATTTATTCACTTTTCCATTTCCACAGTCATAACAAGAATTTTTAAGAGAAAAATTGCTGATTTTTACCACACATTTATATCGTATTTACCCAAATATAAGTCAACTCTGAATATAAAATGACACTAATTTTGAAGAGGCCTCCTGTGAATTTTTTTATATTTTCCATTAATTCTTATTATTTAACCAAAATAAAATAGCAAATTGTTTCAATGACTATAAAATTACCTTGTAGATGAGAATATTAATACTTATTGCCTGAACTAACAATTTCTTGTTCTTTACAATCATTATAATCAAACGGTTTTCAAAATGTGCCTCGCGGCCATATGGTAGGGGGCTTTGCAGAGATTTATTAAAAATGATCTTTAGATTTCATTTACTTTAATGCTTGTGACATCTATGTTTATAAAATAGTTTTGTAATATGATACTATATTTTAATCATAATATATTATATTTATTTTACTAATTAATTGTGGATTAATTGAACCTGGCAAGTCCTTTACCAATTGAATATCATATCATTTACTCATTTGTGTTGAATCTTTCGTTGGCCTATACTAACCCTTATATTTGAAACTTATTTTTACCAGGGGAGCCGCAGAAAGTTTCGTTCAGGTCAAGGGAGCCGTGAACGAAAAATGTTTGAAAACCCCGGCACAACTCTAATCATCTTCATATGTAGCAATGTTTCTTTCTTTTTCGTCTTCCTTTCATGCTGCGACACCCTCTGACTTTGAGGCATTTCAGAATGTTTTGCATGCTCATTTTGTATTGTTCAGAATTTCATCTGACGCCAACTCAAAACATTGCTTTCTGAACCATCAGATTTTGAATCTGTCCTGCATTTGTTGATGGGCAATATATTTGAGATTAGTATCGTTTAATGTTCGTGTAATAAAGTTGCGAACTGCATACTCATATGTGGCTGACCTTCCATTCTGTTGGTAAACTGAGAGATAGCCCAGATAAAGTTTCCCAGTTTCGAGTTGTTTTTGTCAAGAAAATACTTTTTTATAATCCTTTTCTGTGGTTTCTGAGATTCCGCGCAGTGGCCTCGAACCCTCATTGCATTACAAAATCTTGGCATTTGTTTTTACATTACGTGTTATTTAATATGATGCAACTTGTTAGACACACTCTCATTACCGGTCCACTGTAAACTACCCGCCTGAATTGAACAGCAAATTTGCAGGAGATGCCAAGAATATGATCGCAAATATAATTAGTATGTGTTATAGATACCTGCTTTTTGCTACCCCAACAGCTATGAATTTTGCAACATTAAAAGGCAATATAAAAACTAAGTCAAACTGACTAGGCTTAGTCTGCAATATAAGACGACCCTGCATTTTTCAATGGAGATATTTAGGAAAAACCTTGTCTTATATTTGAGTAAATACGATAATACTTTCTCTTTATTACTTAAATACTAAGGTAAAAAAGTAAAAACTTGACAAGCAAGTGTTATGAGTACATTAGGGCAGTTCTCATGAGGGGGTGATTTATGCTTTAAGAACAGAGCAAAGCAAATTGTCTATCCAAGGTGACAATATTTTTCTTGCGAAAATTATGTGTTGACAATTAGTACTTTTAGAATATATTACATGCATATTGCCTTTCTTATGGAACAGTATTGACCAAATATTGAGTTTTTTTATTTTGAACCTACATTTTCTTAATTTTCTCTCATGCATTGTTCTCAAGTATACATTTTTCCTCTTCAGTCGTCTGAAAAATGTTTATTTGAAATTTCACTCTACCTTGATATGTTTATTGCAAAATTTTAGAATGTTTGAATTGCATATACAATCCCCTCCTGGATAGAAAGGCATTTCTCACAAAACTAGGAAAAAGTGTGTATATAGATTGATTATAAGAACATCATTTAGTTAACCTTAATGAATGGTACTTATATAACTTTTAGGTAATTAATATACCTTGATGAATCAATAATACAAAAATGGCCATTCAATACATTCATTACATTCAATACATGAAAATGAAATAAGTTTATAAACACCGGTTAGTACAAATGATAAAATACACCACACTTGTGCTAATCAGTCCATTCATTATGTGAAATCAGTGATCTGCAAATCCGAGCAATGGAATGTAGGTCCCATGTTCGAGGCAATAGGGTTATTTTTGCTATTTCAGGAACCAAAATTGTTGGTTGCTGTTAGAAAACACCAGTCAACATTTCCAATTTCATCTTTACTGCTCTCCCAACGATAGTGATTCTTTTGAAGCCATAACAACGATGAATGTTTTCTTAGTTGCACCTTATAAGAGTATGGGAAAACATGTTTTAGAGAGCTCCTGTGAAATTTCTTGGCATTCCACACTGGAGCCAGCCTGTGACTGTTGTGCAATGAGGTTGTATATTGTGACATAACTGTCCAAGCCATGTTTGCTGACCAGTGTTAAACTACAAATTTATACTGTTTTGTACTACCTATAAAAGATACCTAATACTACTAATCTAAATAATACAACAATAATATTAATATTGGCACTCCATAACAGAAACAGTCATTCTTGTGTTGTCACTGAATCAACATTCATTTCACTGGGCTTTAACAAAAGTGAAAAAGTATTCATGATATGAATGCATTGATACTTAATTTGAGCAATCATTCAAGAGATAAACAATACAGTTACTCTGTTTTTGACCTTAGAATTTACTTACCTTCACCATGAAGTTCCCTAAAACTCGTGGGAGTTGTCGGAGTTACAGGGTGGTTGTTGTTGTATCGTTCAGAGATCTCCAGCCATGTGTCTAAGCGATGCAGTAATCTGCAAATGAAAAACAAATCACGTCAATAAAAGTTGAATCACTTATTTAAAACGGATACACATACCAATTATGCTTAATCCACATAATAAACCATGATATGCACTTAAATGAAATGTTAGTATCAGGGAACGGATTTATACAAACTAAAAATATATGTAATATGTAAATTGTAGTAATAATGTAAATGTGTAAAAATGTAAATATATGTAATAATATGTAAAAACAGAAAAAACCCATTTATATGTTCCCGCTTATTATATTCTTCCATATCCTGCCATTTATATATTTCACGTTTTCTTGCCTTTCACATAATTTGTTGATGGTCCCAGCGCAAAGCTCATATTTACAATGCATTCTCTTCCCACAATTTACAACTTATTATAAACAGTGGTTCCTGTCTTTTACGCCTTTTCTTTAAATTTATTTTTATTTTTTTACTTTTCAAATTTGATATGTGGCTAGTTCCCGAATATGATAGTTTTTATACATTTATGAAAACTGACAATTGCCCAATACAGTATAATTGTTACAGTGGAGCAAATACAATCTATGCAGTTTTACATTTGTTCAAATATATTAATTGAAATCTTTTCACAATTATTCTTCAGACTGAAGAAAAATTGTTATTTAGAAAGTGATAGTTCCATATAAGAGTTGTTTCTAATCTAGGCATATGATTTAAAGGCGAATAAAAATAGAGATTTGTTCTTGCTATGGAAGTTTCTAAGATATTTTTTTATCATCCGTTTCTGTCATTGAATGTAGAATGTAAACTTCCACGAATGTGAACTTTTCCATTTCCATCTCTTGCAAAATGTAGATTTGCACTCACTGGGCATTGAACTAAGAACTAGTGACCTTGTCAGTTGGCATGAAACAATGTCTCGATAATGATTTTAATTTATTTTTATGTTGTGTTTCCCTTGAAACACTGCCGTTCATTTGGGATTCCCATTTTACTGACCCAATCACAAATATTGGTCTGAACGTCCCAGCAAATTCATGGTGGATACAAAGAATGTGTCCTCGAATATTATTAGAAATTTCAGATATGCATAATATTTTTATCATCTTTGTAGTTTATTATGTTAATATAGTTTTGTGAGATGGAAAGGCAATGTAAAACCATAAATCCTAACTGACTAGGCTTCAATTGAACAGCCAAATATCTCATCTTTTGAGAAATTTAGTAAAAAAATTAGTTTTATTCTTGGGTAAGTATGGTACACACACAAACTTATTACACTCCCAAAACGATGAGTATTAAAATGTTTGCATGAACTCTGTCTTCTACATATACAAGAAAGTAATAAGGACTTATTAAGAGTTCAACTTACCTGCCAGAATTTTCACGAAAATGTTCAAGGATTTCTTCCTTAAACACACCAGGTGGTTGCAATATAAGCTTTGTCATTGCTTGCACTAGTTTCAGAACTGCCATTTCATTGTACATTCTAGAATTTTCCTTTCCTTGTTGAGATCCTTTTTGTTTCTCATATCCAGCTTCATTAAAGTATGGCTCACTCACAAGAATTAAACCTAGAAAATGCAAAGTAAATTATTTGGTTTGAAATTACTTTTCTTTGTATTCAAATACCATAAATTTACCTATCTGTTGCCATCCAACATGTTTTAAAAAAAATTGGTGTGATTATAAAATTTCTAACAAACATCATACAAAATTATAAAACTTTTCTCGCATATAGACACATACTACTCACACCAATTATGCTGAAAATTTCACACTTTAATCTTATTAGTATTAGGTGAATTTAAAAGAGTGGTTTGAATTAAATCTGACATTAGGGACAGTTTTTTAAAAGAATCAATAAAGTGGGCTCTATGCCATTTGCCAAAGGACCTTGTTTAAAGTGCAATCTATAAATATCTCTTTGAACTACATGCTTTGCTATGACTCATAACATCGAAAAACATTGATTTTGCCAGAAAAAAGGAAGTTTGAACCAAATGCAGATGGAATGTTATTCAAATTTTTGATTTTTAAAGTGTAGTTAATCTTTATTGAATAAATTGATTTTGAATGTGAATTGTATTAACTTAATACTCTTTAAAATAGTAAAGCATTGTAAATAAAACATTCTGCTACCAGTCATTAAGATAAATTTACAATAAAATTTGCTACTACTATCACCTTTCAAACACACAAATGATACATGTAAATAATTGCAATTGAAAGTTAGTACCTTGTATGGAAACAATAACTTGCAACAGATTAGAGTTGGAAGTCCATACTTCGGTTCCTTTGCCACTCCACGTGCCCAGAAGACTGACACAAACTTTCCCATCTTCATAAAGATTAGGATTTAGACGGTCACTACAATAGCTGATATAATGGCAAAGAGGAGGAGCTTTTGGGTAGTCAGCTGACAGTTGGAAGTCAAAGAAGAACAGACCATCTTCATAAGGAGTTTTCTCTGGTCCTCGAATCATCACAGAATACAGATCCTGCAGAAATAAAGGATTATAAAATACAGCACATGCAATACCACCAATACTCAGTTCTTTTACAAGAACTTTATTGAAAAAAAATTCCCACTTTCCATTTAATAGAAAAATATACAAACGTGGAAGTCGCAACTTACCATTCGATCCTCAAAACCTTTGACCCATATGCCTTCTGGCAATGATCCACGAAGAAGTTTCAGTTCTTTTCTGATTGTTCTGAAAAAGTTTGGTGGATCTGTAGGTTGGAACATTGTTAATTTGAATTTATGACTATTTGGAGCAGAATCCATAATTGAAAATCCTGAAACAGAAGAGCAAATGAATGAATAGGTTATTTTATTAAGATATCTTGTAGTAACAGCCTCAATTCATGAACACTTCTTAAATTAAAACAGGGACATGACGCTTGTTATGAATCAACCTAAGAATAATGAACCTAATGAACTTTTCTTTGATTACATTTCTATTCAGAATTTGTGTTAAAACCGACATGATTTATTAAGACTGTAATGTATAAAAGTAATTCAAGAGAAGATAATTCCGAGCTTTTACAGAAACAACAGATTCTATAGTACTAATTTCCAAATAAAAATAAACATGAATATACTTATGCGTTCTATTAAAATTTTAATTCTAATATCACTCACAAGTACTGTCTCTAGAATAGAATCTTTTATGTTTCAATTCACAGAAAATAATTCCAATAACTGGATGCCGCAAAGCAACTGGTTTCTCTGAATATTACTACAGCTACTGTGGCACTGTGTTCACAGTACTTGAAGCTTGATGTACAACATATCCTTCAAGTTTTCTGGAATACAATAATCCAAGTATCTGAAAATAGTTTGTTGTATGCAACTAGGATAACTAGTATTACTTGTTTTCATGTCTTTTTGATATTGATTCACATAGAAAAATATCAAATATGTTCTTGATTGCTATGAAATACAATGAATTTTTTAACTAAGAAGTAACTAAACAGCCCCAAACGAAAAAAGCGTAACATAGTGTACGTAATGTGGAAACAAACTCTTATAAATTCATTTCAATATTAATTCAATGATGCCTTGTTTTCCATGGTTAAGCTCAGGTCATGAGACCTGCTCTTCCGCCTGACCATGCAAATTCCGCTATGCTCCTTTCACCATCTGGCACAGAAAGTATGCATCACTCAGACGATGAAACAGGCATTTTGAATTTTGCCCAGAGGCTTCATTTAGGCTTGAGGAACTTTTATATGCAGTTAATCTACAACACGGGACAGCTTGCTTTGCTTCCCCTCCAAAGGAAAGCTTACAAAGGATTTTTTCAGTCTTAAAAATCCGTGGCTTCAATCGGATTTGAACCAGTGAACTAGGGTATAACAGTCCAATTGCTAATAGTTGTACCACTAAACCTGCAAACATGACATACCAATTTAAAAAGTTGAGTTTTCTATCTAGCAATTTGGTTAAATGCCAACGGAACTTGTGCACTCTTCAGGAAGTTTGTTATTGCATAATTTGAACATTTTAATTCCTTATGTATAATTCTGTAACTTAGGTGCATGTTTTGTACGCAGTAACTACAAAAATTGATTGATAACAAGAAAAAAAATTGTTGTTTGTATGCGCTAACAGCTTCATTTGTTATTATAGGATGTTGCAGATCTAAATATTTTATAATAGTGACTTCTAAACGAAAGAGTTTGGCATATATTTTTTTATATATATTTTTTTACGTTGCTTCTTGGGGGCTCATTTACTGAAAGTAATAATTTATTGGAAACATATACAGTGCCACACATTTGCATTCCCACATGACATTTTTAAGCTTTTAACATAACCACCAGCCCCAACTGGGACAGTGAAGGCACCACTTTAGTATCAAGTGTTGATGAGTGTGAGTTCATAGTTTTCATCTCACACAGAGGCAAAAAAATATGATACAAAATATGATTGAACATGACTGAGATAATGAGTTTAACTGAAACGAGTGATGCCTACTTGCTTTAATCCACAATCAGAGAACTACTCACATGATTTTTTATCTGCCACGTAGGCATACTTTTCATAAAGCTCTATGTTAAACTGCAATCTTCCAATAGTTCATTGTAAGTAGCTATTCAATTAAGGTACAGAGACAGTATTCATGGAAATGCAGGAAACCGAGTATTGAGCTGTGAAGATGTTCTTTGTGAAAGAAGGTTTGGTGCTAATCCACTTCATCTAGCATGGTCTTCACCTGAACCTTGTCAGAAAACAGACTCTCGGTAGTCAGCTTGTAAATCGGCAGGGTCCTGACCAAGACCCATCTTTTAGTTCTCTTCTATGCTCCGCGACCCCAGTGGAGACCTATCCCCGGAACCAAATACTTACACTACCTCTCCCATTATTCATTCCTCTACATTTAAGGCTACACATGCCTCACCTCATCACTGCTGGGACACACTACATTCTTCAACTATGCACTCAAGGTAAAAAAGGAGATAAATCAATAGCAACTACAGTCAGTTGCAGCAGAAAAAATCTATGAAGGCACATGCTAAAGATTTGAATAATGCATCAATGTTCAATCTCTTTCAAATAAAACCGAATTTACCAAGGCAGCATTACAGTGTCATCCAAGTCATAAATACGTTTTTTGCTCTACAGAAAATTGGTTTTCTCATAATGAACTAAACACACACCAAATTCCTATCTTTTATCATGCAGGATGGTATTGTAGAGCAAGAGAATCAAAGGGTCTGTTTATGGAGATTTGTTTATTTACGTGAGAAATTAAACTAATTGTACTTTCTTGGCAGAATTCAACTTACATACTGTTGAAAATGATTTTCATATAACAGTCATACATTTCGCTTTGCTCAAATTTATTTTATTTTGCATCATCAGACCTCCAACAATGCGAACTTTAAATTATTTTGGTTTCTTAGAAAAACTAAGAGATAACTCTGAACAACTTTAGTAATTCTCTTTCGAATCCACTGTTGTACATGAAGATTTCAATACTGATTTTCTTTCTCATGAAAAAGAGCAATTTCTCAATTTACATCATTCCTTTAAGTTAGACATTACAGTGAATGTTCCTACATGGAATACATTTAAATCAAAAAAAGCAATAGATCAAATCTTAATTAACAAAACCACAACTACATATGAAATAATATTGAACAATCGTAGGTTACAGTGCATGCAGCTGTTAAAAGCAAATGCATGCTTCACTTTATTTCTAAACATCATAACTTATACTCGTTTGCATGTCTACTTCCAAAAATATAAAAGCTATTTATGGAAGGCAATAGTACAAGCAAAAATAATAAAAAATTTTGAACCCTAGTAAGAAAACTACAGCATTGTGGAATATCATAAAAAATATAATCATCAATACTTTGTAGAGAATGTTTTAAAGAAAAATGCCAGAAGTAAGTAATCTGGTAAAAGTCATCAATTAACACTTATCTAGAATTGCAGCTGATTTCACAAAGGGACTATAATCACAAAATTCAATATCATACCTTCCAAAAAATGTTCAACAGTATGTTTATTTCCAAAACTTCTTCCAGTGAAATCCTCAGAATAGTCAATGAACAAAAAAAAAAGTATTCGTCTGGTTTGGATGTATTTCCAGATTGTTTATTAAAAACTGGTGTACCTTCCTTTATAAACCCAAAAAGGCACATTTTCAAAACTTCTATGCATACACAAATAATTCCAGATATTTTCAAAACACAAATTAAGCCACTTAAAAAGGCAACACAAACGAAATTCAAATTTAATTTCTGCTTTGCTGGTTCTCCAAAGCCAATTTCTCCTTTATTGGTTTTCTCAAACATATTAGAAGCTTTTCTACATGTGAATGTAAATTTTACTCAGGAAACATAAACAGTTTTCACTCTCGCAACATTGTTTTAGAAAATCAATCTATGGAAACTACAATTTTGTTTTCTTTTCTTAAAGACATTACTTTATCAGTGGGCCAAAATGAAGCTCCTATGGGAACATTTTTAGATCTTTGGAAAGCTTTTTATATTATTGATCACAACATCTTGCTCTCAAAATTATCTTCATACGAAAGTCATGGTATTACACAACATTGAATAACCTCATACCTTAAACATTAATCTCAAAGAGTAGAAATACCATACTAGTCTGCAAAAACATTATTTACTCATTCCAATTCTTTGCCAATTGAGCATGGGGTCCTGCAATGGTCAATCTTAGGTCCTATCCTCTTTCTTTTGTATGTAAAAGATATGCACTCGTCCATTAAAATGGAAGAACAGTTCTGTTTGCTGATGATACAAAGTTCTTTGAAAAAGGAAACAATAAAAAGTATGATATTAGAAGTTTCAAATTTGTTTCATATTAACAAATTAATAGTTAATGAGGAAACAACTATTTAAATGTATTTTTGCATTTTAAACTATCACTTGCAGGCTCCATTGAAAATGAATAATATGCATTTAGCTTAACATCAGCTAACAAAATTTCTTGAATTTCCTCCCAAATTCAAACCTTGAGTGGAATATGCATTTAACTGAATTAAATACTAAAGAAAGTTCATTATGTTATACATTCTGAATTCTTTCAAATTCTGTCAGCCTTCATTCAATGTGCATTTTGGAAAAGTACATTCCCGCATGAGATATGGCATAATAATCTGGAGAAGCTCTTCCTAGAGTAACCAGACTTTTAAATTGTAGAAAAAAAGGAGAATGTGAATAATAAGGAAATGCTATTCATGTTATTTCTGCAAGCCTCTTTTCATTGAGCTTGGAATCTTACCATTGCCTTTACTATTTATTTACAAATCTGTAGTTTTTCTAAACTCATGGAAAAAAGGATGGAAATATATTTTCATGCAATTCTGATATTTATAATTACAACACATGTCAAAGAAATCATATTCATCAAGTGTCAGTATCAACAGTTCATTACATGATAATACATGTACGCTACTTTACAACACATTGTCAGATGATATTAAACATTTAAAATTGGCACACAAATTAAAGTTAAAGTTTTCTGTTGCATAATTGTTTCTATGCACTTAAGAGGCAATTTTAATTGTCAAAAAGAAAATTAATATCTATTTCAACAATGAAATACCATATAATGCATTAGTTTTAAAAAAGACGCAACAAGTAACATACTTCAGCTTCCGGGCTATTACTACTTTGTTAGCATTACCAAAAAATTGCAACCAAAACCTGCAGTTAGTTTACCAATGAAAATAAGGTTTCCATAATTTGAGAGTAGAAATGTCAGATTGTCAAAAGTTGTTAGCTTGGTTTGTTTTTTTTTAAAACTTTTATTCATCATTTAACTACCTATAGTTAAAATGTTGGAAAAAGATTCTCGAGCTCAAGAAAACGTGTGCAGATAGTTTCTCCCCCATACATCAGAGATTTTACTGTTCTTAGATTAAATAAATCAAACCAAAAGACATTCTGGGTCCAAAACTGATTAAGGTGACTACTTCAATTACTACTGTGGAGAATTGGGTGGTACAAATTCACGTGGCCATGAGAGCATCCAAGAAGAATGTGTGAATAGTGCAACAACACCATATATCATTAAAATAGTGCATGATATGTCTTGGAAGATCAGTGTGGAAAGGTGCGTGAACTGCTGAGGCAATAGATATTCCAAATGAATCCATCTGCCATAATTTGCAGAGTTGTACATGGAGAAGGTCTGTGCAAGATGAATGCCATATCTGCTTCTAGTAATCATATGCATCTTCCAGACTGTGCTTGTTGCGTTTTCGAAAATAAGAGTAACTTTCTGGATAACTAAGTGGCAATTATTTGAAACATGGATTTGCCATTTCTGATCAGAATCAAAACAAAGTCCAAAGTGGATAGATGTTGGTCCATTAGCTCCAAAGAAGGCAGAGACATTGACAGGAAAGGATATGGCATTCATGTTTTGAAATGCAATAGGAATTCTCTTAATTCATTATCTTGCAAAAATAAAACCGAAACTGGGGAATATAATTAAATATGTCCAATAAAAGCAAGTGATATAAATCATGAAAAGCAACCTGGCTTTCAGAAGAATAAAGTCATCTTCGTTAAAAACAATTCCCCTGCCATATTAAGAGTTTTCGCAAGGGGAAATTTGAGAGCAACTGCAGCAAATTTGCCATACTGCCTTGATTTGACTACCTCTAACTTTCACCTTTACTCAGTCTCAAACGTTTTCCTCAAAATATCCTTTATACGCCTTCCTTCAGAGGTAAGTAAAGCCGGCTGTCCCATGTTAGTAGATTTACTAAAAAAATCACTAAAAATGTCAGTAGATTTACTAAAAGATTATCAAGCCTAAATTAAGCCTCAGAACTAAATTCAAATCACCAATTTTGTCCAAGAAATACCGTCTTTCTCCACTGGTTGGTGAACGGAGCATAGCAAAATGTGCGTGGTCAGACAGAAGAACAAGCCTCATGGTCTAAGTCTTGCCACGAAAAATAAGGCATCAATTCAATTCAATGTTCACTGTCTGTTATTCAATTGAAATGTCATTGCGACTGTAGATGGGTACTTTGTAGCAATTCTACTTCTACTTCTGTCACCTATCAGAGAAATGCGCTATTAGGACTGAAGATTATGTTGAAAAATAAAACTACTTGGGAGAACATACATTTTTATTTTAACTTTCACACTGAGAACTTTTCAAACTACTTCCATTGGCTTGTTTAAAAAATAAATTAGTGCATGTAGTGCAAGATTCAAATAAAAAACAAGACTGCAAAGTGTTTCTTTCAGTAAGTCAAATTGTTTACCATCACCATTGTTTATTTCATGAAACGTATGTTATACAATATGGAAGGAGAACAAACATTACAAGCTGATTGATTGATTAGTAATTCCAGGTGCATCAATGCATAAAGTCATTAATCCATTAAGTGTAGTGCATGTTTTTATGGTGGTAGTGGTGATATTCCCCTGCTAAATAGAGAGCTCCGACACTGACCTTCCTGTCAGCCAACAAGCTCTAAAGCTTCCAACCAGCCTGCTGGCGTGTGTAGTACTGTAGTACATGTACGTGCGCGTAAGGAGTGATAATAGGGCAAGCAAGGGGAAGGAAAGATCACACATGATCTGTGGCCTGTGTTTGTTAGAGTACTGCTCAGAAAATCCAAAGAAAACTACAGATCAGGGCAGCCGGTCACTAGAATTCTCCTCTTAGAGAGTGGATGAATTCAACCAAGCTATGGAGCTTATGTTGAATAATTCTGCCACCGTCAGGAGTCAAACCTATGACCTCCAGGTCAGAGGCACTGCAGTGACACCAATTGATAGCCTTTGTCAACTCTCCCAGTATACATATTGAGCAATTTGGTGGTAATAACTGAGCGATCCCAAGCATGTCATATCTGGAGCCAGGGCTTTGAAGGCTACAACCACATTCCTACTGTAAGTGTGTTTCAACACTGTCTCTTCACTGCCAACTGCCGATCCCTTGGACTATAATAAAGCTATGTGCTGTTGTATGTTTCTACAGAAAACTAATTTTTTACTTCCCTAAATCAAATTAACTATGGGTGCAAACTAAAACCACACGGATACAAATCTAAGCAAATATTTAGAAAATATAACAAATTCTAAATGGACAGAAACCAACAGACTCAACTTTTCCAACAGAAGAATGACAATGGTATAAAACTTCAAGGTATATCCCTGGACAGAATCGATTATAAAATAGTGAAAAAAGCTTCAGAACAATTCCCTAATCAATAGTTAGTATAAACTTTACCCAAATGTAAAATGAAGATTTGATTAATAAAGACCATTATTAGGAAATTAAACCCTATGTTCAACTTAACATTCGAGTAATAGAACGCCCTTTTTTGGTAAGAATCCTTATGTCATATTTCATTTTCATTCTTCTATCTCACAGCATCTGAAGTTGATTCATAAATGGGGGAAGATAAGGGAGAAGACAATTTTTCTATTCTTTTTTTTTTTTTATTATATCCACTACAATACTGGCAGAGTATAAGCGACATTGACAGTTCTCTTGACATGTACTGTGGTGCATCTTGACGCAATCAGCTTCGGAGTATTTGTTTACATTTAACAACCAGCGTTCAGTGCTGCCGCTCACCTGACTCGCATGGAATCTAGGAGGCGATAAGGTTTGGCTGAGACGAAGGTTATGAAAATGATATCAAGACATATCATCGCCTGTCAATAAGTGCTAAATGTTTTGAGATTTAGTTTATCTATCATGTAGGCAATGCCAAGTGCATAGTAATGTGCAGCAACAGTGCATCTAACTGTCAGAGTCGCTTATACATTGCCAGTTCTGCAGCCTGTATACTTGAAAATCTGAACTGAGGGAAAACATAAAATCATGTAAATCATTACATAGGCATTCAATTAATCCATGCATTTAATTCAGTAAGTATATATATGCAATGATAATTTAGGTACATAAGAGCAAATACCTTATTGATTAGCAAGGAATATTAGAGATGATGGTGCCCGATAATTCAATGTTTCACAGAAAACCAATATACAAAAATTAAAACTCATACCTTCTCTGGCAGGTTCTTCAGGAGAGACAGTGGGCACTGGTGGCAAAGACTGCTGCGGATCTGTTGCGTTTTCCTGTTCAGTTGTCACATTTTCAGCTGCAACCTTCTCTTCAACTCGCACCTCCCCATCACTCGGTAAAGGCACTTTAGAACCGGCTGCCCCTTGCACCACAGAACTCACAGCAGATTCGCCTTCAGATACACTTGGCACCACTTTGTCCGCTTCAACTTCCTTTTCAGCCTCCTCACCGTTTACCACCTGCTCCTCTGGGGCATTACCACAAATCAAAGGACTGCTCTTACTTGACAATAAAGACCTCAGACCTACATTAACAGGTTCCTTCTCTGTTGTATCCATGGCTTCTTCACCTTCTTGATCAACATCATCTGCTGGGAGAACTGGAGGCTCGTTCAAAGCCTCACTCAAGGCCATGAGTCCTTGGTTGCCACCAAATCTTCGTGTCACCTCTCCGTGGGCCTTGACTAATTGTGCCTTTATAAGGGAACACAATCGCACACAGACATGAGAGTTGGATACACTCCATGGTCCACTCCTAGTTTGATTGTTATCAGAAGCGTTGACATCATTTGATACTTCCATACTTTCTCCATTTTTGTCCACATTGTTCCTGGATGATCCTACGGCAGAAGAGAGACAACCATTGTGTTTCAAATTGCTAGACTTTTCATCTCCCTGTCGAAGTTTATTATAACCAATAGTTCTTTGACCAGTCTTGCCTTCCTTGATTTCCTTACTATTTTCCTCCAAACTCAGAGCTTCGTTGTTCTTTGAGTTGTTAGCAGCAGTCACAACATGTCTTTCTAGATTAACCAGGTTCTCACTCAGAAGAAATTCACCAGATGTGAAAGATTCATTTGCACTACTTCCTCCGCTGTCTTTATTTGAATTAGAAACGGAAGATATGCCAGAGTCCTCTTGAGATTTTGGTGTTAAGGGATTCAATTTGCAATCAATGAAGGTATTGGATGTCTTCTCCTTGGCATGAGTCAAGACACCATTCTCCTCACTCACTTCCTGTGGAACTTCGTTAGCTGAGGGAGCATTTGTATCTAATGTGTTATGGCCTAACTCTGTTGCTTCAGTGCTTTCAGTGGAAAACAGTCTGCTCACTTGATCAGCAACACGTTGTGCGACATTGGCTCTCCCACGTTCTCGAACTCTTTCTAGCAAGCCTTGGAAATGACTTTCATGGAAAAAGGATGTTCCCATCAATCTATCCAAGTACCTGAAACATAAACAACATTATTTATTCAACTCATCAAAAGACTAAATAACTTTGGACTTATTTCACAGAATTTTTTAAATAACCTGCAATCTTTGTACACATCCAATAATTGTCTCATGACACTTGTGGTCTGTAGAGCTGGATTTTGAGTGAAGATCTCTTCCAGGCGAGACATGGCAATTCGAGCCTTCTCAATATTAGCCGCAAGCTTTGGCTTTAAAATCTCCTGCAGGTCTTCCTCAGGATATTTACTAAGAAAAAACATATATGTTAAATAGCAGAATATTGTAGAGAATACTGTAGAGATACAAGGATTATGCTAAAGAAAAACAATCATTTTCATTTTCTGCCATGTATAATTTTCTTAAAACATGGCCATTGAAACAAAAAGTATTTTTTAACTATACAGTTTTTGAGGCCAATGGTAATGTGTTTTGGCCATTTCTAAAATGGTGAAGTATCGATTTACCTATCTAAAAACAGTAAATTGTTGTTAAAAAACACATCACACCACACATATTCTTTCACCAGCCACATGAGCTAAAAATGTCAGCTGGAAATGTGTCAACAGCCAATTCAATTTGTAGAGTTAGAAGGCTAGGAATAATAATAATGAAAAATATAGTTTTTCCCCAATATAATTAAAAAGAATTCTTAAAGGAAATCGTGTTGAAAATCAGATGAAAATAAATGTCATCATCATGAATGTATAATTTTTAGCCCTTTGGGGAGGATCGTTTAAAATTTACCAGTATTCCCTTTAGTCACTTTCCAAGTAGTTCCTCGCCTTTTCAGTGTTTTCATGATGATCTTTCTCTTGGTTTGAATTTCACTGCTGTTCTTAGAAAACAATGATATTTTCCCATTTGCTAAAACAATGTCTCTCCATGACCAATGTTAGCTCCAAGACGTCTATTTTGTTTGTGTGGCTTCAGTTTGTTTTCTCTCATTGATTCTACAATCATACAATAACATGACTTTGCAACAATATTGTGTGGCCTTATCTTTTCTCCATATTCACATTTTTGAAGGGTCTTTTAATGCATTCATTTATTTTACTATATTTTATTAATTTTGATTCCAAAAATTAGTATAAATATGTGTGTGTGAACCGTCTTCAAATGGACAAGACACATTCACCAAATTTCAGAGTCTGCATTCTTTACTTCACACTTTCAATTCAACTCCAATATATTAACTTTTAATCAAAGAATAATACACCATGTAGAAACTTTTTATAAAAGAAAAGTAATGTCCAGTTTTCTTAAATTCCAACAAAACAAACACTTTGTTTTAATGCAAACATTCTCTGAATAGCAGAATGACAAAATCATAAGGACAGCAGTTACAAAAATAATTTTATTTATTTTGACATGTAACAAACTAACCACGACTCCAATTTCGTTTGACATGCGCATGTGTCAAAACAATTGATTACATGACTTAAACTATAAATAACATAAAACATTCACATGTTTACTAAATATCTCTACTTACTCTTCCTCAAACACCACGCAGTCTTCAGACTCTGTCTCCCATGAAGCATCACTACTATTATCATCCCATAACTCTCCTTCATCACTGTCATATTCTCCAACTTTATACAGGTCTTGGGGCCATGACATAGAAATATGTCCATCAACCCACCACACACGAACCTAAAAAGATTATGTTATCCTTGAATCAATATCTAAAAGAATACAAAAGCAATTCAATGATAAACTTACCATTCCCTCTGGGTAGTTATCCAGCACTTGTCCAGCAGTGCAATTGGCATCTTCCCCTTCAAAATTGGCAACTCTGATGACAACTGTTCCAGGTCGATACTGAAAATCTGGATGATCTTTTAAATCATAAACACTCACTTCGCTTTGCTCAAGGAATGAAGGTCTGCAGGAGAAAAAAAAAAAAAGGCATTGAATTAAAAACCAAAGAACTAACCTAAAGGATTGTCTCGACGATTTGTATAAAACCCATGGAAATCATGGAAAACAAACATTATTATATACAACATACAAAGAAACAGTAATTCACATTTACTTTTTACTTCTTGTGATAAGCAGTGTAACAAATGCCCATATTCTACAATCAAAACAACAATAATTTTAATTTGTATCTTATATTATTACTACTATTAAAAATTACTAAAATGTTCTCAAATTATTCATCATGAAGTGGATTCATCATGGCATTATGTGTCAATACTTTCTAAACCTGAGTTGTTCTCTAGTTAACTTCTAAAAACATTAAAACTGACAAACATTTAACATTGCAAAAACTTTTTAGAATTGAAAATGAATATAATTTTAATAATATACATAATTTAGTACCATCACACTCCATAATAAGGTTGATAATCAAACCAAATTCAATATTTAATTATTTGGTTTATATACTCAATACAGTAATTTGTGAAGACTCACTGTGGTTGCTCTACAGACGTGTAGGTTTTAAACCACTTGACAGCAGCTGTACGACCAGCATGATCTACACTCTGCACAACACCATACACTTGCATACATGCGTCCTCCTTGTTTTCAATGACAAAGTCTCCAGGGAAAAATTCCTGATCATCCAAATGATGGATGGGATAGAGTTGTGTAGAAGGAATCCCCAGTTCTACAGAGCCATCCTGCCACACAACATCCGCAATTGAAGACGTAGACAAGGTCTCCACCACAATTCGCATGCCGGAAGCCAGTGGCACAGGAGGCGGCCTCTTCCGCGTGCGACGCAATTTCTTCTTCTTTAGCACCTTTGTCATCAGAGCTGGCCCTCTCTTCTTCCGGCCTGCGAGTACAACACGAGTAAGCCCTGGCAGGACAAAATAAAAAGTTTGTGGCAGCTGACTTGAGACAGATCAGAAAAATCCACTGTTTTGAAATGTAATCTTCAAAATTAAATTTATTTTTGAAAAAACAAAATTAAAATAATATTTATGGTAAATAAATTATTAATTCAATTGAAGAAAGGCACAAACAAAAAACTACCCTTGGTTAATGAATCATTAGTTTAGCCCAAAACAATTATATCAAATTGAATTTATTTCGCTTCAAATAATAAGTCATTATTATTATTTTCTTAATTATTGAGGTTCTCACTGAAATGTGAATTTTTCTGTGAGTTGAAGATACCAACTGCCACTAACTATTAATTTTGTTCCTTTCTTAGTTTTCGTTTTACATATATAAATTTTAAAGACTTTCAAATTCCAATCTCAGTACATAAATATTCACATAATTCAATCTTCATAAATGTAATGAACAGTAGTATTATACAGCAGAGGAAGCACTCCAAAAGAAGATAATACAGTACAATTAGAGTTTTCATGAAAAGTTCTACAAATGCACTATAGAAAGTAAATCCAATAAACCTTCAGAAGATATTCAGATCACAAGTTACGCAAAATTTAACAATTGATGAAAAAAATTACAAATACCTGATGAAAATCTTGCAATATGATAAATGCATTAAACGCACTGCCGTGGTTACTCTAATAAAAAACATTTTTTGTCTGTTATAGCTCAAAACCCAACCAAAGACACTAACAACACTGTTATCCATAGAAGTATACTCAATTCAGAGTTTTGATGCTGAAGAGAGATTAAAAGAATTGACAATTTTTCTGTGAAACAGATCAATAAATTTTAAGAAATTTACTCGAGATGGACATTTAGTTACAACTCTTCAGTACATGATAAATTTAATTAAGGGTAATTGTTAAAATTTCATGATTATTTTTTCAAATTTATGAAATTATGATTTTCCATCTCAATGTTCTAATTGAAATTATCATTACTAGATTAGCAAATTTGAATTCAGGACATCAAGACTGAGTCACAGATTAGAAAACTAATTCAATGCATTTGAATATTTTGGTATGGAATTTATTTGTACCCACAGTACACATCTAAAGATAACAGCAGGCAGATCCGTGTATTAATTTTGGGCATGGTCTCACTTCAATGGAGTTCAAAATACTTTCATGCACAATCAAGCACATTCTTGTTAGTAATAATAGCAGTAAATGTTTTAGGAAAAAATACAAAAAATTTGAAGTTCATAAAGTAAATAATACTGATTAGTACGTAAGTAAAAGGCCAGAATTTCATCTTGAACTTCAAACAAAAAATTTTATATGTATCAATGCCATTTTAAAAATTACATACTTTGTACAATTTTGTCCAACATTTACCTACATTTTAAACATTAAAAAGGACACTATGATGACAATGAAGCACAGAAAATAATATTACACCTTAGTGTTGTAGGTAGATAGATAAATTAAAATCAAGCTATTGAGACAGCTAAAGAAAATACACTACATTCAGGCCCATTTTATTAACTGAAGTACATGTGCATCAGTGCGTGTTCAAAAGCTCTACTCAGTTTAATTCTATGTGCTTCCAATAACAACAGCACTATTCACAAACATGCAGCATTGATAAATCAAACACATCCAATAATACAAACAGTATACTGACAGGCCTTAAATAATTACCTTTATCTCCTTTATGCCACTTGTAATACCAAATAATTATAAAAATGGATACTATTATGATTAAATAGAATAGTTGATCTGTGCCAAACTATTTAAAAAACTCTTTATGATTTGCAAACAAGTTTAGTAAATACTCCAATACTTCAGATTTTCAATATTTTCTATTAGTTCAATATGTCACTGGATTTGAGAAAAATTAATTTGGCATTTGCAATCACATTGAAGTCAATATGGAAGTTAAACATGGAATGCTTCCTCCTTGCAAATTCCATGAAAATTTTATTTTACATCTAGTACTCTCATAAGCATCCTCCCACAAATGATCAAGTTTATGTCCCATAAAACAGATCCAGGAACAGAAGATAGTGGGGGGAAAATATTTTTTTTTTTTTGCATGTTAACTTGAATACTTACAAACAATACAAAAAAGAAAAGCAACTATAATTAAAATTTATAACTATTGGACTTTTAAATCTCAGAATTTGGAAAACCATACCAACTAATTACAGAACATTTAGATCTACATTTATTCATGTTATTTGTCTCTGCTAAGCACAGTAGACAATAAAAACAAGTGGCAAATTCTTGACACGACCAAAGATCTTACGAGAACTTTCTGGAGATCACTTGTACGAAGACAACTCACCTGGCTGGCGGCGGTTGGCAAAGAAAAACGACAACAACCAGAAGAACAAGAAGCTGATCATCTTGGTGACATGTGGAAGGATGGGAGCAGCAAAGTACACACCTTGCGAACCGATGCTGCTGGCACCACTGCTGATAGATGCAGCATCCGAAACACTGGCTGTGTCCTCAGTATCCCACTCCTCTTCTTCACCAGCAGGGCTTACTTCCATAGGCACTGCAGCTGGAGGTGGGGGCAAGTTGTTAGCTGGAGTTCCATCAGCAGGTTGACCATCCACTTGTAATGGTGATGGCTCTGGAGATGGACCATTTACATGTGACGTTGCATCTTTGTTCTTATTCCTCTTTGGACTGCGCTTAACAGAATTAGCAGGACCATTGTTGACTCCATTTGCATTTGCAAGAACAAGGTCTCGCTGTGCTCGTCGCCACTGTTCCTTTTGTATGTACGAATCTTCATCACGGTAGGTGTAGAAGTTTCGATCCCCCACCTGCAGCGTGCAGGGCTCAAACACATTCAGCAAACGAAGCCTAGGACAAGTGTGTCAAAGAATAAGATCTTGGAATGAACATAAAATAGCGCTCTAAAGAAAGTTGTAGAAAAAAATCTTATAAAGGTAGATGAAATGGAAGAAAACAAGAATTTTTTTTATTTTCACCTCTTCAAGTCATCGCCTTGAACAAGATATTTGGGCTGCTCTTTCTCAACACCAGCTCCTTCTTTAGAATAAGCACGACACTGCCAATGCACACCCACACAGTCTGTCTTTACTTCCTCCACAACCACCTTCACTGTTTTGTTAGGTTTATTACGGAGGGCTTTCATCTCTTTTGTACAATGTATCCACTCAGCATCTTCAAGACAATGAAGCGGTCCCCACAGTGTTTGGCCTGGATAAAAATCCTCTCTATGTGAAGTGAATTCACAATCTTGCTGTGAAATTAAAAAACAGTTTTTTAACTGAGCTTAATAGTCATTTTCACTATTCAATAAGTAATAAAACAATACACTATATTTTCAAATGAGAAGTACTGCATTTCAGCACTACAGGGATATCTCTTCAGCTTCTGATCATATCTACTCTTTTGATTAGTACAATTATAAGCCTTTTCTAAATATACTTAACTTACACAATCTCCTCGTTTTTCTGTGAAGTCCTCTAAACCACAAGCTTCTAAATCATTGATAACACATCTTGAACCATCAGCCAATTGAACATGAAGTTTAGAATGAACAGATTTGATTCCCCCAACCCATGAATCCAAGCATGCGGCAATATCTGTGGCAAATTCCTATGAACAAAACAATATAATGAAACACTATGAACATATGCTTTACACTAAATATAAATTACAAAAAAACTTACCTCTAATGGAATAAGGTGTTCACTTTTGACATTAGGTATAACTTGTTTAGTTCCAACTACCTGAACATTTGCTGTAACTTTTATGTCCCGACAGTAACCTCTTTGAGTATCTTTGCCTTTTATCATTCGCCGAACAACATCACCAGGCATTAATGATCTATCAGCTAAGTGAACCTGTCAAACAAATTATTTTTCACCATGTTTAAATGAAAAAATCACATCATCCAAATTTAAGCCTCCATATAAAATAATGTAGTCACATAAACTTCCATTCAAATTAAACTAGCAATATGATTTTAAAAGTGGTTGGAAGGAATGAACATGGCTAATTTTCGTCAACATTTCGAAAAGGAAAGGGCATTTATTTAACCTACATAATTTCATAAACGAGCTACAATGCAATTGGTTTGTCATCATAACATGTAAAACACTACATCTTATTATGGTCTTTAGGAAACATTCAGGTTGCATGAAATGACACTGGGAAAATCAAAACTAATAACTCCCGACTATGACTAATATCAATAGGATAGAAACACATAGTTGAATACCTCGTATTACGAAATTGATAACGATTTCTACTTTTCACACAACTGACGCAAATTGAAATGCAATACAAGGTTTCAAAATCCTGAATGAAAATATGGGAAGCTTTTCCCGACGTTTTAGCTATGAACGGAAGATTCCCTCTTCGTATAGTTTGTGAAATCCAAGAAGCTTCCGTTTATGATCATGTTTATCAAGTAACAAACAATTTATAATTTACTTAAAAAACTGAATCAACACGTAAAACAATATGATTACCTTTCGTTCTGGAATGACTTCTACACCTGTAGGATGCCACGCAACACGAATGTGTCCCTTTTTCATCCTGCCTCCTTCTTCAACGTCAGAATTCTCATCACTACTAACAAGTTCTGAATTCTCCAAAACCATCCCAAACTCCACATTTCCTTTCTTATTAATTCTATAAACTTCATCTTCGTAGAAAAACTGATGCTCAGCAGCCATGATGAGTCCTGCCTACTGACAGGAAATGCTATGAAATCGAACAATTGCACCTAACTTAGAAAAGACACTGGCGACATTTCACACACAGAAACACTGATTCTAGATCTTTAAAATGTGGGTACTTTAATTCCAACGGCAACACTGAATTTACGTAAGGATATCATCACTTCATTTTAAAACAGAATTCTTTTGACTTGTAGATGATCGACGCACACTCCCAGAAATCGAGCCCCCCAGACACCAAATTCTGACATTACATTGATGGCGCCACTACAGTTTAGCCAGAAGCATCATTTTCAAAAATGGATGCTTTAGCAAAGAATTATTTGCTTCTTATTGAAAATAGTAAGGAAGATTATGCAAAATTACTGTAAATGAATTGAAAATTACAATGCACCCATGTTGGAAGTGCTCGAAACGTTCCGAGCAAATCAGCGGTCTGCTCGTTATGTGAACAAACGCTCATAGATAGCAGCACATAGCTTTTCCCTCAAAGAATTCAAATGTATATCATCTAATTGCGCAATAGTCTTTGAAGATTTCGCGCATGGCATAACTGGACGTTGTTACATATTCGTGGAGTGCTTGCCGTTACGGTCGATAGCTCGAAAATTGCTTGTTCTGCCGTATTCGTCTTTCTTTTGTGTGAAGTTCATTTTCTGTGTCAGTGTTTATTCAAAAAAAAGCATTGTTATACTTGGACTAAGAACTCTCAGCACAAGTGATAAATTAGACATGTCTCAAAATTCTAATGAAGCCAACATTGTGGAGCCCGTTCTTGTGTGCCCTTACAATCCGTCGCATCAAATACTCAGAAGCCGAATGCAGTATCATTTGGTAAAATGCCAGAAAAATCATCCCTCAACAGAAAAGGTAATATGTCCATTCAACGCTACTCATCGGATTCCTCGGCCTGAATTGCAGTATCACATCGCTACTTGCCCAGAAAGGCGTATTGTCGAGGAACAAAAATATGTGACACAAGATGAATCTGTGGATTCAGTGGATGGCAATAAACCTGGTTTAGTACCGTATTACATGCCCCGTGTACCACCATGTGAAGAGAATTGGGACGACTTTCATGGAAAAGGGTATGACCCTGCTACTTTGACAATTAAAAAACCGATTCTTCGAAATTTACCAGGAGCTACAAAATCTGAAAGAAAAAAGTTTCGTCTCATGGAAAGGAGGCGTGTGCAAATGTTGAGTTCTGGAGAAATAGTCGAGGATGAACAATCTGACCAATCTATTATCAGCAGCGAGAATATTCGCCGCCCAAAATGGGATTCTGCGATGGCACAGACTTTGCGTCTCGGAATGGGGCGAGGAACTATTTCTGCGGATTGTCGCCGTTAAGTACAAGCTGTTCTGGATAATATGAAAGACAAGGCGATTTTTCTTGTATTTACTGTTTTCAGACATGTTCATGCTAATTTCTTTGTTGTACTATCTCGTAGATTTTCTATCAAGTGTTCATTTCCTTCTTGATCCCTTTTGTTTTTCGTATTTTTCCCAGTCATTTCATTTGTATTGTTTCTGGGTTAACAAATAACCAGTTGTAAACATAGGTAAATATTGTGTTCCGATAAAGAAACAATTGAGATTAAATCAATTTTTGTTTAGAATTAGTTCCTGATATTTAAATATAATTTCCATTGTCACTTTTGTATACGGACGTATTTGTTCGTCAGTTTTCTTTAATCTCATGTTACAGTCAGTGAGAGTAATTTAAAATCATTTAAGAAACCAAAGTGTAAGTGCAAATTGGCGAATTTTATTTGCCCGTTAATGCCTTAAAACAACTTCAATGTTTTCGCATGGTGTATACTCGTTATAACGTTTGTAGGATATTACTGTAGCCCAAAGTTTATTAAAATTAATTGTTTTAAGTACAAAATGTGTCATTTGTATGTTTGTGGAAACCCGTCGGCCCGACCAAAAAAAACAGCGACAAGGTTCTACTCCTATTCAACTAATTCTCGTGAGAATTATGTGTTTATTACTCTCAAACGATCGGCCGCGTCCGTTGAAATGCAAGAAACTGTCCGCGAAATCGAATTTCGCAGTCAAATAATTTAGTAATACATTTTCGTACTTATTAAATTGTTAATTCCTAAATTTTAGCAAAAAGCTATAGTTGTACGATAAATGACGTACGGAAAGAACTAATTTATAATTCAAACGACGAACTACAGATGTTTTCAACCTCTGAAGAAAATAATACGCCAAGTACCAATCTTCTGTGGTTCTTTGAAGTTAGTATATTTAGATACGATAGTATAAGTAACAGGAGATTGGATAGTTATTATAATTTCAAAAGGAGCCTATTTCATTATTTCAATTTAGTAATAAGAACTAACTCAAGCAATTATATTTTCTGTATTGCCTTTCAAACGTTAAACTGACTCATGAATTGCAACAGCCCTCATTTTATTCTTAGATAATTGGAGCAGGTGTATGATTGACATTTCTTGTAACATGGATAATGCAATACAGTACTGGACGTAAGGAACGGCCTGGCTTTGCATCGAAATTACAAAATAAAAAATAATTCCAGTCAGTTGCTGGAGCGATACCATTGGTTCGTTTGTACTTTTCAGAACGTTAGCCACAAATTTATTTAAGCTGAAGAATAATAATTCTAATTTGAATACTGGATTTAACTATGTGCTATAGTTGACGCAACTATGTTTCTTCCGCAGCATGACGTAATCCACCAAAGCAGGGCCGGATTTATACCTACCTACAAGCAAAACAAGCAGTTGCTTGGGGGCCCCGCGTTTCGGAAAAATACGCATACCATATTTTTTGTCTGTGAAATAATTGTTAATCAAGTAGTCTACTGTGTAACAAAATGTACAATTTCAAAACATTTTTTAAAAATATTTATTACATGTTAAATTAGTCTAATATTAACTATACTTTATTTCCTTTATTTATAACTGAATATAAAATTTTTTTATGCAAACCTAAACATTTTTTATGTTCAAATTAACAGCTATGGGGTCCTCAGGACAAAAGAGGAGGCCTGTATAGACCAAAAATTCGCAGTTTTCATTGGTATCTGTACAGAAAGTACTTGTACTATAATACATTTTTTATTTAATAAAGATGGAGCTATTTTTCGGGGGGGGAGGGGGTCAACACAATTTTGTGCTTGGGGCCCCGCACTACTTAAATTCGGCCCTGCACCAAAGAGAGGAAGCCTATAAAATAAGGGTCTCTAACCTTTTCGACTGTGGGTCGAGAGAGGACGAGGGTAAGAGCCATGGCACCTTTCCACTATATGGGCAAGAGCAATGTAAAGATTATTGACTAAAATCAGTTTAGTATTTGCCAGCTTTTGCACTGGCAACCGGAATGTAATATGAGAATATTTTAAATATTAAATTGACTGTTGTTGCTAATACACAAACGGCGTAAACTTCAACATTAAAATTTAGAATTATTGTGACCCTTAGAACTGCTTGTTGGTCATTATGTGTTTTGGATTAAGTTCAAATTGATTGTTCCAATCAGTAAGATTGATTTCAACTCAGGTGTGGTTGGCCTAAAGGAAGATGGGAGGGAACTTCATTTCTTGCCCCCATTTTCCATTAAGCTACTTTATTTACAGATGACACAATGAATTAGGAAATAAATACAATTATGACTTTAATTTTACAATTAATATGCACGATTCAGACATGATCGTTATCTTGAACCATTTACAGAGTTGGCAGTTAGAGCGTCTTTGGAAAATGTTAGTGCAGAATCAATTCCACAAATTGTTAGCTTAAACAAAAGGCCTAATCTGGAATTGAGCATATTGACGGAAATAAAATGTTTTATTAAGTAGAGCTTTCAAAAGGTGCACCCCGTAAACATCACTATGCTTCAAATAGTTACTTAGATTTAGATTTATTTTGCCAAAAAAAAAAACAACTTTATATGACGTATGGGGGAGAAGATCCTCAGCACACGTTTTCTTGAGTTCCAAAATACCTTTCTGTCATTTTAACTATAAATAGCAGAAGGATGAGTAAATGTTAAAGATAAATAAATAAAAATAATTTTAAAGAGTGCGAGATTACTTGATAATGAAGTGCAATATTTAGAATTTACATATTTCATCTTAGATAGGCCTAATTCTTTTCAAACAGTGACTCCAAAACAGAGAAAAGCACGGTAAATTTCTCAACTTTTAGAAGTTCTAATAAATCAACGTGCAAAAGTCGATTTCACTCTTGGAATGAGTAGATTAGGTTTCATTCCACGAAAATCTATCACGGAGAAAAGTCAATCGCGAGATAGCTATGCACTCGATGACCGTTAAATGTGCCAGCTGATTACACGAGTAGGGAGTCACTGCGCATGCGCAGTAGAGCCATTCGCGCTTACAATCGCGGTTCAGAAAATAACAGGTAGCCAATTGCGAGCTAAGGTTTGTAATCGCCTAGGAATTCGTTGTGTCTGCAGTATTGTAATTTGTATACGTAAGTATATACGGTGTACAAGTAGTGTCGAGAAATGTTATGTCATGCTGCGGAAAATCGATTTAGAGATTAGAACGGAAATACAAGTTTTGGGGTCTCCTGTTACGGAAAAAGAGTTTTTCAAAACATCCGTCCGTCTGTCAGGGCGTCTGTGAACAACATAGGTCCCAAAACTAGTCTATCCGTAGGATTTTTTCCAAAAAGACTATTCCGTTGTTGATTTTGCCCGAATCGAAGCCTTGCGATTTTGGAAGAAATTCTTTAAAATTTTACGGTATTTTAAATGAAGACCCTCAGTCATATTCAAAATTTTCTAAAAAATGACTTCAATGTTTTTCTTTACACTTGTAGCTCATAAGAAGAGAGTAAGCAACCCAGTTATAAAGATGTTATACAGTTTGATTTTCACTGTTAACAAAATTTTTGAAAAATACAAAAGTTTGAATATTTTCGTCGTCTCCCTAAAACCAAAAACTATGTAATTTTGATAACTATAGTACTTGCTAAAACTGCAATATTAAAGATAAAGATTTTTTTCTTTATATGAAATTCGCTCTCCACAATAAGTTTTTTATTTCATGTCATGTTCATTGTTTTGAAAGTATTTGACATTTCGGGAAATTATGCAACCGAAAAAAAAACTTTTAACTTTAATTTGTGTGCCAATTTTAAATGATTAATGTAATCTGGGGATGTGTTGCAAAGTAACGTGCTTGTATTAGAATATGTTTATTTCTTGTAATGAACTGTTGATACTGACACCTGATAAATGTGATTTCTTCGATATGTGTTGTAATTATAAATATCACAATTGCATGAAAATATATTTCCACCATTAAATAAGTCAGTTTAGTAAAAAAATACAGATTCGTAAATAAATAGGCAAGACAATGGTTAGATTCCAAAGTCAGAGAAGGTTGCTCAGAGGAGAGGCTTGCAAGGATCAAGCGGATGGAATTTTTTCATTCGAATAATTTTCTTTTGCAGTCTAAAGTACTGGCTACTACATTATGAGATTCCCCAAAAGATTATGCCATATCTCAAGCGGGAATTCACATTTGCAAAATACACGCAACAATCTGCATGAAGACTAACAGAATTTGAAAGAATTCTGAATGTGTAACATAATGAACTTAATTTAGTGTTTATGTTATATGTACATTCCATTTGAGGTTTGACTGAATTGAGTGGTCTAGAAAGGTTGTTACCTTAACATCAGCTAATTGCATATTGTTCATTTTCAATGGAGCATGCGATGGCTGATTTGAAATGCAAAAAGGCATTGGAACTGTTTTTCCTCCGTCAATTATTAATTTATTACAAAACAAATTTGAAACTTCTACTATTTATTGTTTCTTTTTCGCAAAGAACATTCGTGTCATCGACAAACAGATCCGTTGTTCCGTTTTTAATAGACGAGGGCATATCGTTTACGTAAAACAGAAAGAGAGTAGAACCTAAGATCGAACCTTGCGGGAATCCATATTCAATTGGTAAGGAATCGGAAAGATAAATAATATCCTTTCGTGCCAGTACGGTATTTCTACTCTTTGAGATTGATGTTTAAGGTTCGACGTTATCCTATCTTGGGCGACCACGAATTCCATAAGAAGGTAATTTTGATAGCAATGTTATCAGAGTTGCCACCTATTGACACATACTCACCCGGAGATTTCCTTGAGTGGGGGGGG